CTTAGTCACCGCGCCTTTGCTTACACATTGTAGACCCCTTAAGCGTATCCGCTGTTGGGGAAATATGCAGAAATATATGAACGCCAATGTTTATACGAACGCCTTTTTTGTTTTTCCATTGGACCGTTCCATCTTGCCGAGGGGCCCCGGTCAGTCAGCAGGAGCGCTTCTGGCTGTGCGCAGCTGCCAGCGGCCGGCGAGCTATCCTCGCGGCCGCACAGGGGCGGGCGTGGCTGTTTGGCGCATTTCGGATGCCACGTGCATCTGCCAGCTCTTCGTCCTGGGGCACGTCAATGCCGGTGCTCGCATCAACACTCGGTGGCTGCATTTCCAACGGCGCAAACAGCGGTGCCGGAGGCCTGGTGGGCAGCGGCTCGCAAACCGGCCGGCGACTCCCGTGCGCCACTGCGAGTTTTCGTATTTTATGTAGTCTTTGCTATCAGGTTGCCCTGGGCAAAGGTGCTCGCAGGCCAAGGGCCGAGGTGGCTTTTTTCATCGGCAGCAGCTGAGCGGCATCGCATCAACGTATGAGCATCCGGCTGACAGCCGGTGGTTCCCCCAGTCTCCTCCCAACGTGGGCTAAAACATTTGGCAGTCGCGGCATTAAGCGCGAAATGGCAACTCCAAAAGCAAAACGGCAAAAAACCACGCACGGATTGGGTTCAGGGCGCGAGCAAGCGCGGAAAATCGCACGCAGGGTGCTGCCACCTGCCGCTGACTATGCTGACTTCTACCATTCCCTCTTTCTTGCGCGCCACACACCCGCGCTGTGCCTGCACACCTCAAGGTCGCGGCCCAAGCTGCCTCGGTTCTGTGCCAGGCCGCAGTCGCTGTTGTCTCATCTAAACGCGCTTCCCTGCTGTTCATTCAGCTGACAGAGCCTGGAGGTATTAGCGATTGGATGCGATGCCTTCATTTCCAAGCCTGGCGGTCAGTTCATTGAGTGGAAATCATGGATTTCATATCTGGGCGCATTACTGGCCGCTGACGATTCAGTAGGGTCTGAGGTTCACCGTCTTGTGGGAGTTGTGCGTGCAAATTTTTTTGCGCTGAACCGGGTGTGGAAGCCAACCGCAAAAGGCGGGCTGTGTACCCAGAACTTGTCGCCGCGAGGCGGTGCCAACTTTTAGTTCTGGGCGTTGAGGTTGGCGGGCGAATCGGACAGGAAGCGCTTGGGTTTGTCCGCCAGCTAGTGAATGCGAAGGCGCGCGGAGTGCCCGCAAGATTGTGTGCGGCGGCGCGACAAGCCCACATCCATAGGTGGACAGGGATGCTGGCTGTCGCAGCCCAACGCGCTTTCGCGATGTCGCTGCTGGAGCTGCCCCCGGCGACGGCCGATGAGTGTGATGGCGCCGAGCCGCCCCTGGCGGAGGTGCTGGTTGACGCGAGGGCCATTGAGCCCATCGTGCCCAGCCGCCTACCCGTGAGTAGGGGAGCCGGACGGGACAATCATTTGCAGACGCAAAAAGGTCCGAAAAAAAGAGAAAAACAAATCATTCTTCCCTGCCAGTGGAGCAAAAAGTCCGTATTTTCAACGCATGCGTCGCCTCTTCGCTGATTTATGGTTTGCACGCCGCCTGGCTGGAGAAAACTGAGCTTGGCAATTTGGATGCCTTCCAAGCAAGGTGCTTGCGAATGATTTTTGGTATTGCTGATTTTTTTTAACAGCCGTGTCCCCAACACAGATGTTTTGTCGCGTGCAAAGACGCAAAAAAAATCAGTTGTGCTTTTGTATGGACAACTGATGCTCCTGCACAGGATGGCAAATTTACCTTCGGATGAACATTAGGTTTCGAAGGCCAGATGATGCACATAAAGATTGCCCGTGGAAAGCGGAGTCGGGGGAGGTATCAGCGGGAAATTTTGCCGTAGCAATGCTGGATGGCTCCTATGAGGTGAGTGATGTTTTCTCTCCCACAAACATGGTGGAAAAAAGGGCTGCGCAATTTTGCTTTGCAGTTCCGTAGCCGTGGCTCCTACAGATTTCGATGCGCAACAGCCCGCATCGTTTGTGCTCATGTGTCTGGACACGAGGCTTGGTCTCTCTTTCTCTCTCTCTCTCTGACCATGTCGTCCGTTTTCAGATGCCCCTGATGGAATGGGTGGGGGTACCCCACCATTAAAACATCCGGAATATATGTATGCCTACATGTTTTGTTTTAGGGCCAACCGGTGCGTTTGTTGTTTTTTATCTTTGCTGTCTGTGTTTCTTTGCGGCATCGCCTCACGCCCGGCTGCTATGGGAGGCCTAGGTGTGCGATCAGCTGAGCGCACAGCACCGGCGGCATACTGGGCCGCCTGGGCGGACGCTTTGGTGCCCCTGCGCGATCGGCTCCCTGAGGGGGCCGACGGGTACACGGAACCCCTGGAAGCAGGAGGGGGCCATGCAACGTGCCTACAGGACGCGGCTGAGGCCAGGCGGACCCTGCAGGGCGAAAGGTGGGCGGATTGTCCCACGTGGCGCGTGGTCTTTGAGGGCCAGTTCGCACGCGCAGCGAGCGAAACAAGTGCGGGCGGCTGGCAAGGCCATGCGACGCGGATTCAAACCAAATACTATCGCGATCGCGTGTTCAGGCGCTTCTCCGCTCGCAGGCGGGCCCGCAAGCCGGCATGTGGTTCACTGCCATCCCGGCTGAGGCAGCCACCACCTTGCCGCCGCAAGCCATGCTAGTGGCATTGCGACGTCGCCAGCGATTGGCCCTGCCACTTTGCCCGTTGCATGTTTGTTTTTTGGTCATGCATGTTTTAGTTGTGCTTTCCTACTTGGCAAACATGTTTACTTCCGTAGCTTGGCTCTAGCCGCAGGCTAGGAAATTTTTTCATTCATTCAACCGATCAGCTTATAACACTCAGCATTGCTTTCTTTATGCCACAGACCTCACTTACCCTGACAGAAGTACACTCCTTGCTTGTATGGACGATAGCGGTGGCCGCTCGTTCTTTAGGGAACCAGAGTCAGGGCCCATAGAAATCCTTGCTACGCAGGATGAAGAGGCTGAGGACGTTGCTCGAGCCCCGCACCTAGCCGCTGCCAGCTCGCACAGCATTAACCCACCTGGCCACAGCATGCACTCCGCACAGACACTTGCATTAGTCCCACATAGCAGCTCGAGCATTCCGAGACCAAAGCGCAGCACTCGAAGCTTTGCAACAGCACATGTCAGGCCAAAGCAGCAACCTTGAGCAACGCCTGTCCCGTTTGAGGACTGCCCAAGACGAATTGGACAACACCGCACACAACGCACACGAACGCATTTCTGATGTGCAAAGCAACCTTCGACAGCAGAGCGCTGCACTAGATGGTCTGCAGGACACGCTCAGCCAGGCAACCTCCGACATTCGACAACTCAGGCGCCGCATTGGCCACGCCCTTCAGGTGATGGGCAGCCACAGTTCTGAGGACTGATGGAGGCCTGCATCGCAAATAAACTGCACTTTGTCTTGCAGTTGTCTTTGCAGGTACCTGGGCCCGCACGACCCGGCAGGCATCACCCAGCTCCTTTGCAACTTCGCTTAGTTTTTTGCCCCGCCAGGGCACGCCCCGCAAGCTCGGCACTGCATTGGCACAGACCGCAGGCAAGGCCATCCGCAGCTGTCACAAGCAGCTTTTTGCTTTCGATAGGCCTCACACCGCTCAGCATCGCATTGCAAGCCCCTTAGCTACAGCTCGCTTGCTTGGCCTGTTTCTCCTTGGTCCTTGGACCTAGCCAAGGCTAAACCGCAAGCTGTTCCCGCTCGGCACCGCGTGCCCCGCAAGCTGGACATCCGCTTGGATATTCTCAGCTGCCTGACCTTTTCAGGTACGCATCGCTCTCTGAGCGCGGCTAAGCACGCATTGTCCTTAGCCTTTTTCTCAGCGCCTTTCAAGCTGGGAACTTTGTGCCCGCAGGTACTTTTTTCTGCACCCTCCCGCAAGTACAGGTGCCGCGCTCAGTCTTTTGCATCACTTTTCAGTGCAACTTGCCTAGCTTGGCACGGACTGCTTGGTCTCATTGCACTGCTCCGCAAGCTGCGGCCCAAGTCTTTTGGAGCCGCAAGGGTAGGCAGCCCCTAACTTTCTCAACTCATCTTTGTACTCTCACTTAGGCAATTTGCTCCCCGTGGCCCGCACCTATTGAAGCTAAGGCTTTTCTGGCCTCACGGCCTGCTCTTGACCTACGACCCGCATGGGCCCATTAATTCTAGCAGCGTCTACTCTCATATTCGCACATCTACCTCGCACCCAAAGCACCCAAACCTTTGCATCGCACCGCATTTGATGGACATGATTAATGTGGAGGCAGCCTTTGTCATCCTCAGCAACGCAACGGACCCAGAGCTCGCATCGGCACTGCAACAGAACGCTGGCTTGAGGCGCCGCATCCAACGCATTCTTGAGGTTGGCCCTCCGAGGCACAACTCCGGCAACGCACCCCTTCACCAACGGCAAGCACAGCAACGCTCTGCTCAGCAACAGGTGCCACCGGGCTGGCCGGATGGCCCTGGACCGGCACTGTCGTCTTCACCGTCAACGCCCGCAGCACAATTCGGAGGCCAAAGCTATGCACCTCATTCCAGCGCACGCTCTTGGGCGGATATGTCAGAAGCTTTTGACACGCAAGGCGCCAACGCCGGCAACTGGGCACAGCACGATCCTTGGGACGACACCGCGCAGCACTCGGAGGAAGCTTGGGACCAGCCGGCTCCGCAGGCACAGCAACCCCCTCCCGCACCGCAAGGCAAAGGCAAGCAAGGCAAGGCTCTTCAAGGCAAAAGCAAGTTTGTCAATGCCGATTGGACGCACCCAAGCACGGCACCTGCAAGCAACTCGCAATGGCCGCAGTCCAACGCACCGCAGGCAACGCAGGCACCCTCATCGCCCGTTGCACTGCAACCAAGCAACCTCATCGAAGCACCGCTCCGCTGGTGGGGGAACCACCCCTACTATCAGAACGCCAAATCTGGAGTTTGGCTTTGCGCCTATCAATGCACGAAGACGCACTGCCCTCACGGCAGACCGCCGTGCAATTACAAGCCCGAGGCCGTCTCTAATGACGTGCGCGCACCGCACACATGCTCGCTCTGCAAAGCAGAGCAACGCTCCAGCCAGTGGGGCTGAGCACTGCACCGCATAGCACGCACTGCACCGCATGCAAAAAAGATGCTCAGCTAAGCTTTGCTCCCTCCTTCACTGCACCTTGAACCTACAGACTGCTTTTGTTCTCTCGCTTTGCCCAGGTGCTTTCAGCCCAGCAATCTTGGCCGGTTCGCCCCTCAGCGCCGCACTTGCCTGCACTGACCCGGTTGCATGCCAGACACTTTTCGCAGTGCCAGTGTCAGCACCATGGCTCAAGCTAGACCAGTTCGGGTTGAGAACGTTTTGTCCAGCTGTAGACCCCTTCTTTCAATCTTTGGTTTTCTTTCTGCCCCGGATCGCATAGCCCTGCAGGCCTCAGACTTCTACCTTCACGCTGATATCAGGTGGTTCTGGCTCAGGGCACCTCCGCTTGCAGATACACATGGAGTCGGCACAGCCTCGGACTCCAGCACAAGCACTCGCCTCAGCACCGGCAGCACCGCCGTCATCCGCGTCTGCACAGTCAAACGTTACCGCAAGTCTCCCTCCGTTGCAGGTTCGGCCCCTTCGGCCGCCGTGCCAGAGGCTCAGCAGCCCACTGCACTCACTGCCAAATCGCATTGCCCTAAGCCGCCCCCTTTTTCCTTGAGCACTCCACGCCTCGGCACCCCCTCTTCGTGCCTGGCAGACCTTCCGCTAGGGGGTAGCGCTACAAGGCCACAGCCCAGCTTTACAGTTAAGTATCCTTCGCACCGCCCAGGCACGCCAAAGCCAGCGCCTGTTTTTGCCAGGAAGATTTCTCTTAGTAGCCCGGCATCGCACCTCGGAGGCAAAGCAGCCCCTGCAGACTGGTCTAGGCCTTCCAGCATTGCTCGCTTTTCTGCTCCTCCTACATGCAGCCCTGCATTTTCCCTCTCCGGTTACGAGCCGGGTCGTGCTTCGTTTCCGCCGCATGCAGTCCATACTAAAAGCCTTTGCCACAGGCGCGTGCACCTAGGTTCGTGTCGGCTCGCGCACTCACAGAGTCAAGACGACACAGGTTGGTTGACCAATTCCGCAACATCTTGCTTAGGGTTGGCGCGCATTGCCTACTGCACAGCATTCTCTCAGAGTCCTTGCACCCAGAACACCACGTAGAACAGTTGCTTGCCGCTTTCGCAGTCAACACGTTGTTCCGCTACCTTGCTTGTTGCATGACATCTCTCGACTTCATGCAGGCACAGCATTTGTCCCTGGGGAGCATTCCCGTAGCCTTGCTTGTGGATTTTTTGCACGCCTCCCTCTCCAGCAAGCGCCAAGACAGAGCAGTCCACCGCACTTCCTGCGGCGCAGCCATCAAAGCACTGCGCTGGCTAGCAAAGCATCTCCAGTGGCAGGCGCTGCAAGCATGCACGCAGAACAACCTGGTAACTTCTTACACAAAGCAAGTCGAAGCATATGATAAAAAGGAGGCAGTGCCAATTCCACTGTCCCTCATAGCTGCTTGGGAGCAATGCATTTGTTGCCCCAGCACGCCTCTCACCACCAAACTTGTGCTCGGCGCCATCCTGGCATGCACCCACAGCAGCATCCGTTTCGGCGACGCGCAGCGAGGGTGGGGCTCGCTCCAGCTCAGCTCCCGAGGCTTGCGCGCCACTGCATATGCAACCAAGACAACCAAGGCAGGGCAGCCATTTGCATGCACCTGGCATGGCCTCTCTGGCCGCGACGCACGCGCATCATGGCTTCTGCAGTGGCTTGCCGCCCTTTCGTGCACACCCAAAACACGGTTCGAGGTGCAGGACGACACAGTTGAGCCCGATTTCCTCTTTCCGCACCTCGACCTGCAATGCCTTTCGGTCGAATACCTTGCACCAGCAAGCTATGCCCGCGCCCTGCTTTGCCTCCGCTGGGCCGCGCAGTCCCGCATGCTCTCAGGCCCGTCGGCACTCACAGCCTCGGAGGCCAGCGCCCTCACACTGCACAGCATGAAGAGCACTGCACTGGCCTCGGCCGCACAGCTTCGCCTGTCTAGAGACGACAGACTTGCGCAAGGACATCACCGCGACAGTGCGCGCCTCTACTCCCGCAACGACACCTTTGCAAGCCTTCATATTCAACGACGCATTGCACTAGCCGCCGCCGATGGTTGGCGCCCACAGCGCTCCATGGCCAGAGGTGGTAGCGCACCAGTGCCCGAACCTCCTTTCACTCTTTCTCAGGCGCATCCAGCAGAGCACCTGCCGGCTTCCTCTCTTGTGGAGGGGCCCTGGCGCATCTTCACTTCCAGACACGAGTCACTGCATGCATCGCACGAGCTGCGCGACCCATCTCCAAGCTCGCCTCAGGCCAGCCCCGCATCGCCCCGTTCTTTGGATGAAGGCGCAAACGCGCCAAGCAAGCCCTCAGACCCGGAAGCCGAAGCTGTCGAGGCGTACGCTCGCCTTCATAGCTCGTCCGAAAGCGAGGCAGAAGTCACTGCACAGCACATTGACCAAAATACTCTCACTTACGTGTGCTCCGGCCCGTGGGGCAGCATGCACGTTCCCACGGCAGAGTCCCTCGAAGCATACACCCTGGCACTGCCTAAGCTCGGCACACTTGCAGTCTGCAAGCTCCGCGCAGCCTGCGGTGCACACCTCGGCCCTGCATCTTTTGTTGCTGTTTGCAAAGAGCCAGTTTCATTGTGCAGACGCAAAGCATGCCTCGCGACCTGTAGACAGCCCGCTTGACGTGGAAAACACAGAGGCCGAGAGCTTGACTG